AAAACCGGTGCACTCAAAATCGGTTGCAGCTACAGTCATGGCCGAAATTGTTGGCACCCTTGATATTTTTCCCTGAAAATCAAGTATTTCACACAAAAAAGGTATTTGCATTAACACATGTTTTGCTATACACATGTTTATTCCCTTTGTATGTATTGGAACAAATATAAAACAGAGGCAGAAAAGCAAATATGACATAATGTCACACAAAACCCCAAAAATGGGCTGGACAAAAGTATTGGCAACCCTTAACTTAATATTTTGGTTGCACACCCTTTGGAAAACATAACTGAAATCAGTCGCTTCCTATAACCATCAATAAGCTTCTGACACCTCTCACCCGGAATTTTGGACCACTCTTCCTTTGCAAACAGCTCCAGGTCTCTCTTATGTGGACAAAAAGGACAACCTTTTCCCAACAGCAAATTTTAAGTATCTCTCCACAGGTGTTCAATGGGATTTTAGATCTGGGCTCATTGCTGGCCACTTCAGAACTCTCGCAGCGCTTTCTTTGCCATCCATTTTCTGAGTGCTTTTTGACGTATGTTTGGGGTCATTGTCCTGCTGGAAGACCACAGGATCTTGGACGCAAACCCAGCTTTCTGACACTGGGCCCTACAGTGCGACCCAAAATCCTTTGGTAATCCTCAGATTTCATGATGCCTTGCACACAGTCAAGGCACCCAGTGCCAGAGGCAGCAAAACAACCCCAAAACATCATTGAACCTCCACCATATTTTACCGTAGGTACTGTGTTTTGTTCTTTGTAGGCCTCATTCCGTTTTCGGTAAACAGTAGAATGATGTGCTTTATACCGGAAAAAGCTCTATCTTGGTACTCATCTGTCCACAAGACGTTTTCCCAGAAGGCTTTTGGCTTACTCAAGTACATTTTTGGCAAACTGTAGTCTTGCTTTTTTATGTCTCTGTAGTCAGCAGTGGGGTCCTCCTGGGTCTCCTGCCATAGCGTTTCATTTCATTTAAATGTCGACGGATAGTTCGCGCTGACACTGATGCTCCCTGAGCCTGCAGGACAGCTTGAATGTCTTTGGAACATGTTTGGGGCTGCTTATCCACCATCCGGACTATTCTGCGTTGCAATCTTTCATCAATTTTCCTCATCCGTCCACGACCAGGGAGATTAGCTACAGTGCCATGGGTTTGCAAACTTCTTGATAATGTTGCGCACTGTGGACAAAGGCAAATCTAGTTCTCTGGAGATGGACTTGTAACCTTGAGATTGTTGATATTTTGCCACAATTTTGGTTCTCAGGTCCTCAGACAGTTCTCGTCTCCTCTTTCTGTTGTCCGGATGCTTAGTGTGGCACAGACAGACACACAATGGCAATGGGTTAAGTGAACGTCTCTCCTTTTTATCTGCTTTCAGGTGTGATTTCTATATTGCCCACACCTGTTACTTGCCCCAGGTGAGTTTACCAGGAGCATCACATGCTTGTAACATTCTTATTTTTCCGCAGTTGTGAAAGGGTGCCAATACTTTTGTCCAGCCCATTTTTTGGAGGTTTGTGTGACATTGACGAATGTCGAATTTGCTTTCTTGTCCCTCCCTTTTTGTTTGTTTTGTCCCAATACACATACAAAGGGAATAAACATGTGTATAGCAAAACATGTGTTAATGCAAATACGTTTCGTGAGAAATACATGATTTTTCCTGGAGAAATATCAAGGGTGGCCAACAATTTCGGGCCATGGACTGTATGCGTGGTAGCCAAACAGCTTCTAATTTCAGCTTGTTCAATTAAGATTTTTGACAATAAAATCTGGAAGCTGAGTGGTTTCTATCAGAACTGCACCAGATTCTGCACTCTCCAGTTTTAGTAAATGGCTCCCAATGTCACTTGCTTAGCAAAAGTTGAAATAAAAAAATCCTCTCTTATACTTAGCTTACTAACTTTCCATTATTTTTATCACACTTGCTGGCCAAACTGGAATCCTTTAATATTAAAGTGTATGTCCAGACATTACCCAAATGTACCCCCATAGTCTCTCTTCCTCCCTCTAGAGAATGTCCCAGCATTATTTTATTTTTTTTCCCTTAGGTTTCTTTCACACAGGCACACTCCGTTCATCAGGGGATCCATGAGCAGATCCCCTGCTTAAATGGAGCAGTATGGGGACAGGTGTCACTTTAGTGACATCTTTCCCTGTTCACTTTTTGGTCTGCATATTGACAGTGGGACTGTGATAGAACAGTGTTGGATCTATAGACTGAAAATATAAACTGACTTGTGTAACATTTACATCAGTCTACTTTTGATCCATCATGTTTAGGTCCAGAAAAAATGGAAAAATAAGCAGTCATTTTCTGAGGGAGAGATCAAGTATCTAGCTGCATAAATGCTAATAGAAATGACCCTCTCTCATTGTTTGGAGGGTGGTTTCTCATACGACCCTGGACAGTTTGGTGGATGTGTGGGAGAGTTCTTGAGAAGAACAATCATTTAAGGATTTGGATCCATCTTCCCCTAGCCTTTTTTTTTTTTAGCCCATTGGAATTCATGGTATCTTTGCTACAGAACGAGGAATAAATTCTAGCTTCATTGTGTCCACTGGCGTCCGTCCCCACATGCGAAGGATATGGAGGGTGATTTGACTTTCCCTCTCTCAGTGCCACGAGATGGGTTTATGTGACCACTGTTGTCCTCCTGATAGCTTTCACCATCGAATGTTGGACCCTGCAGTCCCATCTTGAACTCCAGTATTTTTTATGACTGCTTCTGATCAACATTAAACGTTTAATTTTTTTAGATCCCTCTTGTTCTGATATGCCAAACCCTGAAAAAGATCTAAAATGTGAGGAAATGATCGAAACGCTTCGGGAGTATATCTTGGGAATGTTGTATTTCTGTCATCTCACAAAGGGAATATATCCCTGGAATAGCTATCAGAGCCAGTGTTTTTAAATCCAATGTATTTTTAATAACAAAATTCTGTACAATAAAGTATTACGAGTAAAAATTGTTCCTTATGAATATATGTGTGATAGTATGCATTAAAGTCCCAAAGGGGGTCATTTATGTTTGCGGTAAATTTTTCTGTGTTTTATTTGTTTGTTTTCTGAACCTGAACGGACTCGAAGGTAGGTGGATGTAAATGGACATAAGTTAGTTTACATGCCTCTAGACCTGCATGAAACTCCCATCAGCCTGTGTGAAAGGAGAGCCTTTCCTTGTCCTCAAAAGGGTGAGGAGCCTGGGGGAAAGGAGAGGAGGTACCCACACCTGGCACCCAGACTGAATCTAGTCAAGTCTCCGGACCCATCAGAATAACTCAAATTTAGTGAGAGTGATATTCTGACTTAAGTAAACCCAGTATAACCAATTTTATCTAATTCTTTTTTCCTGCTGTGGATTTAGAGGATGACAAATTCCATGTGTACTCTTCATATTTCTGAACCAGCGTTAATGAGTGATTTTTCTGTATCATCCTACAGAGAAGGAAATGCCATGGAGCAAGTCACCTATGAGATTTAGTTCCCAAATCAATGTTTAAGAGTTTAAGAATGAATTTAAGCTATGGACAAATTCCAGAAGATGTGCAGTAAGTGTACCTCTATGATTATGGCATCTTCAACAGATAGAGAAGACTTTTATATTTTGTGATTTCTACCAACATATGGAGGATCTAGAGAAAAATTTTAATCCTGATTGAAGCATGGCTAGACTCAAGATGTAGGGTTGGTTTGGAAGTAAAAGAGGTGTTGAGGTCTGTTTTCCTATTACTTGAAATAAGATGGCAGGCTGCTTTTGTTAGCAAAGTGATGAGGATTGGTGTATGGGGCTGTTGTCTATACATATTTGCTCAAAAGACATTAGTGGTTGGTGAAAGGAGTCAAGGTCCTGGGAAGAGCGTTGAAGTCCTGTGGTAGTATACAAGAGTGCTTACGATTGGCTAGTTGTTGGTGCCAAACTGTGCAAGTCCCTGCCCTGCTTCTTTCTGCAAAGTACACCCACCCATCTGTTGCTGATGGGACTCTATGCCCTCATGGTGTCATACTCCTGGTCTGAGTCCTGCTTTCGGCATCATCCCTGGCCATAGGCCTTAATATTTATGAATCAAGGAATGTTCACACATAAAATACATATTTTTCCGCACTTTTCCGCAGTCATTATGTAGCTGTCAAATCTGTGCAGATGCAAGCACATCTCTTTAGGCCATCTTCCCTTTACACCTCCTCCTCGGGAGCACCACAGAGTTTACACCACTTTCCATGTATACTATGTCCACAGCATCTAGCTTTCATCACCAAGTAACAGACCCACAGTTGAAGTTCAGGAGGGGAGGGTATCAAGGTGCTCCCATTAGTATACTGGTCTCTTCCCAATGTCCATTCTGTAGCTCTTCCCAGTTGGGCCTATGGCCCTTTAGGTCAGTACTGCAGTAGACTACACCTTGACAGCTCTGGGGTATTTGGCTCCCATGCCCCATCTACCCTGGGCCCCACTCCCCCCCACTGGCATTTATGTGGCACTATCCCCACCTATAAACATCACTAGAGGAGGAGTTCTCTAAAAGGGGAGCTAACACTCAATTACAACTTTCCCTTCACCATACTATAATAAGAACAGGGCCATTTAGTGGCAGGAAAGCTAACTGCATCTGCCAAAAAGTGTTAAAGTAGAACTATAGGCAAACCCTTTTTCTTTCATTTTGGATAGGAGTAAGGCTGGCCATACATTATAAAATTATCTGCAGATTTTCATGCCCAATTTCCTTTAGATTTACCTTCAACATGTAGTGCAAGGGCCTGCCTAATTGGATACAACAAAGTGTTGGTTTAGGTTTGTCCTCCAATTATATGGTTTATGGTAAATCTAAAACCAAAAATCTGCAAGATAATTGTATAATGTATGGCCAGCCTAAGGGAGTGTCATAACCCCTGTTAATTTTATTTTTCACCATCTGCATCCCATTTTGGAGATTTCCCTCCACTTCCTGTCCCATAGCCAGGACAGGAAGTGAAGAGGAAATCCTTACAAATTAAACCCTTCACGCCTAAGGGTTAAAACAAATCTAAATGCCTAAGCACAATTCTGCAACGTTGACATGTGATAGTAAAACCGTACATATTTCATCAAACAACTACTTTGTACATCCAGGTGGTTTATACCTTGTGTTTTTTTCAGGACAAATTGGGCTTTCATTTGGTGGTAAATAGTAATGATAGCTTCTAATTTTTTTTCTATTATCAAGGAAAACTGGCCCACAAAATAGTAAAAAAAAAAAAAAATTTTTTTTATTTAGCTGTGTGTTTCTTGTTACGACCATAAACCAACCTCCATAGAACAACCCAAAATAAATTCTCCAGCTCTTGGACAATCGCAGCGATACCATATATGTGTATGTTATTTGTTGTTTTGTACCCGTAGTACAGCCCTAGAAACATTAGTGCACAGTAGTTTGTTTTTGTCTTTTTTTTTAACCTAAAACACATTGACACTGACATTAACACTAACTGACACTGATACTATTTTTTCCTGACCTTTGACCTTGACCCAAACACCAACCCTGGCACTGAACTAGATCAACCTTGATCTAGGTTTTTTTCTCTTTATTTTTTCTTTTATTTTTTAATATTCATTTATTTATCTTCCTTTTTTTTTTTTTTTCTTTTTTTTACAAATTTTTTTTTTTATCTCTCTATGTCAGCGAGTTTAGAGAGATACCAATGTATCTCTCTTCTCCATTTATAAGAGAGAAAAAACATGGGGGCCGTGCCCGGCTGCACAGTGACTGATCACTTTGATACCCAATCAGAGGCTATCACAGCGATCACGGACCCGGAATCGGAGATCCCGGGTCCCGATCGTTAGAACGGACCCGTGGGCTCTCAGTGACACCCCGCGGTCTCTGTGCTGGGAGCGCAACCGAGCGGGCGCACTCTCAGCACAAAAGACAGGTACTCAAATATGCAGCCCCACGGAAAAAAGCCCAGTTCCATGAGGCTGCATATGTTGTGCTGTCGGCATCAATGGGTTAAAGAGAATCCCTTGGGAACCTAGGTCACCAGAACTAGTGTCCCGGTGGATAATATCCCCTCTATTACTTTTCTCTGGAGACACAACCCAAAAGTTGTGATGTTTTTTCTACTTTTACATTTAATGGTAAATAGGACTAAGAGAGTGAGTGGAATCTTCTTTAATGGGGCACAGACAGCAATAAAAAGTGACAGGCATTCTAACCCCTCTCCATTTCTGTCCAAAATTAATAAAGTTTTGCCTTTTGTTGTGCTTTAAACTTGCCATTCTTGGAGAATAATCTTGATTTTCAAAGTGTCCTTTTCAGTGATTATGCAAGTCCTGATGCCTGGCAGAAAATCCCATGATACAAGGGACTAGAGTGAGGGAGGAGGACAGAATAGATTTTGAGGGTGCGGGAAATGGTTCTGCCAACTTTCCTAGTAGCAGCCTGTGAGTAAATGGGCCATGATTTGAGTTTTGAGTGACAGATAACAGCCAAGGGGTTCCAACTGAGGGAACAGGGTATGTAGTCTTGTTCTAACTATTTAAAGGGCTTAAAATGTCCATGATTGCACCTCACTACCCTGAGTTTAAGGAAGCCTATTCCTTTTTAATGTTTGGGTAATTAGCTTGGCTTTTATCCTACTTCAGTAGGTAGGTGTATTGAAGGGGGACTGCAGTAGGTACAACAGGCAGGTTGGTGTCAATCATTTAAATTATGCTGCAGTTTGCCATACCAAATGAAGGCAGTTTATTCTCCATCGAATGAGGTCTTTGTAGTCATTTGAGCTAAAGAGGGGCAATTCATGAACAAAGACTTTTGCTCATGTAATTTGGGATAACGGTACTAAAGAGGAATACACATTGAAATGGGGGAAGTTTTCATGGTGGAGCTAGTGGAAAATCCCAAAGGCCACTAATTTAGTTATCTTGAGGACCTGCAGTGATGGGAATTTCTTGAATTCTGAGAGTGTTAAAGTAGGTGGGTACAGGTTGAACGATAAAAACAACGTAATGTGTGTACCAGGCTTCAGTAGAGGATTGTGGTCACGGTGTGAGTAAGAAAAAAGATCAGGTTGTTCATATAGGTGGAGACCTTGTGAACCACTGAAGGTTTTTCTGAGCCTTTGATGTCTGGATGAGAGATGATTGGGTATTCTAAATGATCAGGAATTTGATTTTTACACAATTAGATAACTGAAGTGAATATTGATGCATTTTTTTTTTAGTGAAGATTCTCAACTACTTTATTAAATCGACCTCATTGAGTGATAATGTCACTGGTCAGCAGTACCCTTCTAAGTCATGTTTTGAATCTCTAATACATAGGGTGACAACACCCTAAAACACTTCCTGTCCTAGGGTGACGACACTGCTGCTACATAGATATAGTGTACTGAGTCAGTGTTGTCACTGTAGGTCAAGAACACGTTATTGGCAGGATCAGGTGGATCTATTGGAAAGAAAGCCTGAAAAAAAACACACACAAATGCAGCCACCATATACACTACAGTATATTGCCAAAAGTATTAGGACACCCATCCAAATACTTGGATTCAGGTGTCCCAATCACCTCCATGGCCACAGGTGTATAAAATCAAGCACCTAGGCATGCAGACTGCTTCTACAACATTTGTGAAAGAATGGGTCACTCTCAGGAGCTCAGTGAATTCAAGCTGGGTACCATGTTAGGTTGACACCTGTTCAATAAGTCCATCCGTGAAATTTCCTTGCTATTAAATATTCCACGGTCAACTGTTAGTGGTATTATAACAAAGTGGAAGCAACTGGGAACAACAGGAACTCAGCCACGTAAAATGACAGAGTGGGGTCAGTGCATGCAGGCGAAGAAGTCATCAACTAGCTGCAGAATCAATAGCTAAAGACCTCCAAATTTCATGTGGCCTTCAGATTATTACAACAATAGTGTGTAGAGAGCTTCATTGAATGAGTTTCCATAGCCAAGCAGCTGCATCCAAGCCTTACATCATCAAGTGCAATGCAAAGCGTCAGATTCAGTGGTGTAAAGCACATCGCCACTGGACTCTAGAGCAGTGCAGGAGTGTTCTCTGGAGTGACAAATTACACTTCACTGTCTGGCAATCTGATGGACATGCCTGGGTTTGGCGGTTTCCTGGAGAATAGTTCTTGCCTGACTGCATTGTGCCAAGTGTAATGTTTGGTGGAGGGGGGATTATGGTGTGGGGTTGCTTTTCAGGGGTTGAGCTTTGCCCCTTAGTTCCAGTGAAGGGAACTTTTAAGACGTCAGCATACGAAGACATTTTGGACAATGTCATGCTTCCAACTTTGTGGGAACAGTTTGGGGATGGACCCTTCCTGTTCCAACATGACAGCGCACCAGTGCACAAATCAAGGTACATAAAGACATGGATGAGTGAGTTTGGGGTGGAAGAACTTGACTGGCCTGCACTGAGCCCTGAGCTCAACCTGATATAAAACACCTTTGGGATAAATTAGAGCGGAGACTGCGAGCCAGGCCTTCTCATCCTGCCTGACGTCATAAATGCGCTTCTGGAAGAATGGTCAAACCTTCCCATAGACACACTCCTAAACCTTGTGTAAAGCCTTCCCAGAAGAGCTGAAGCTGTTATAGCTGCAAAGGATGGGTCAACTCAATATTGAACCCTACGGACTAAGACTGGAATGCCGTTAAAGTTCACGTATGTGTTAAGGCAGACATCACAATACTTATGGCAATATAGTGTATATGGACTGGTAAGCTGCAATATATTACATATCTGTTCTTCGGTTTGAATATAGTTTATTTTTAAGTTTATTTTGATGACCTTGGCTTTTAATACACTACTCAAAATTAAAGGAATCGGAGTACAGCATCAAGTCAATTCAACTCCTGGGATATTAATCTGGTCAGTTAAGTAGCAGAGGGGGTTGTTAATCAGTTTCAACTGCTTTGGTGTTAATGAAATTGTGTACTAGATGGGCAAAAATGAGACGGCCCCCCAAAACAGGAATGGTTTTACGGGTGGAGGCCACTGACTCATATTTTCTGACTATTTTTCACTAGTTTTGCATTTGGATAGGGTTAGTGTCACTACTGGTAGCAAAAGGCGATACCTGGACCCTACAGAAGTTGCATCGGCAGTCCAACTCCTTTGGTATGGCACATCAATACGTGCCATTGCCAGAATGTTTGCTGTGTCTCCCAGCACAATTTCACGAGCATGGAGGAGATTCCAGGAGACAGGCAGTTACTCTAGGAGAGCTGGACAGGGCCATAGAAGGTCCTTAACCCATCAGTAGGACCGGTAACTGCTCCTTTGTGCAAGGAGGAACAGGATGAGCACTGCTAGAGCCCTACAAAATTACCTCCAGCAGGCCACTGGTGTTAATGTGTCTGACCAAACAATCAGAAACAGACTTCATGAGGGTGGCTTGAGGGCTCGACGTCCTCTAGTGGGCCCTGTGCTCACTGCCTGGCACCATAGAGCTCGATTGGCATTTGCCATTGAACACCAGAATTGGCAGGTCCGCCACTGGCACCCTGTGCTTTTCACAGATGAGAGCAGGTTCACCCTGAGCACATGTGACAGACGTGAAAGGGTCTGGAGAAGACGTGGAGAACGTTATGCTGCCTGTAACATCATTCGGCATGACCGTTTTGGTGGTGGGTCAGTGATGGTCTGGGGAGGCATATCCATGGAGGAACGCACAGACCTCTACAGACTACACAATGGCACCCTGACTGCCATGAGATATCGGGATGAAATGCTTGGATCCATTGTCAGACCCTACGCTGGTGCAGTGGGTCCCGGGTTCCTCCTGGTGCACGACAATGCCCGGCCTCGTGGCGAGAGTATGTAGTCAGTTCCTTGAGGATGAAGAAATGGATACCATTGAATGGCCTACACACTCGCCTGCCCTAAATCCAATAAAACACCTTTGGGATATCATGTTTTCGGTCGGTCCGTCGATGTCACCAGGTTGCACATCAGCCTGTCCAGGAGCTCAGTGATGCCCTGGTTCATATCTGGAAGGAATTACCCCAGGACACCATCTGTTGTCTCATTAGGTGCATGCCTCAACGTTGTCAGACATGCATACAAGCACGTGGGGGCCATACAAACTACTAAGTACCATTTTGAGTTGCTGCAATGAAATTTCAGCAAAATGGACTAGCCTGCTGCATCATTTCTTCACTTTGATTTTCGGGGTGTCTTTGAATTCAGTCCTTTGTAAGTTGATAATTTTCATTTCCATCAAACGATGGGGCATCTTTGCATTCCTAACCCATTACCCAGTCCATATCAGTATAGACATGCAGCATGAGATGTTTCCCCATTGAGATCTGATGTATTTTCAAAGTGTTCCTTTAATTTCTTTTGAACAAAGTATCTTTTGGAAATTACAGTGATCAGATGATCTTGCTCTTGCTTCTTCCAACTTCCTGGCTGCTCCCCACCCTACCAAGTATCACTCCTCTTTTTTCAGCAGAGGTTGTTAGTCCTAATGCTTAATTTATCATTTTGTCAAATACATTTAAAAATCCACAGATATCAGTCTCTAACCCTTGGATTATAGCGCCACATTCAGAAATAGAACACTAGGCACAAAAACAAAAACACAGTGTAGGGGATAGAGGCAGCTCAGTTTTTAGCCTAGCAAAGTAAACTCGTT